AATAGAATGATTTGTTCTAATGGTGTTTGTAAATAGGATCACACGTCTGCATCTTGTACAGCAATTAACCACTAAGAAGAATATATGTAGTGTATTATTTGTTGAAAAATAAAAAAAAATTAAAAAAAAGAAAATTAATTCATTCTAGAAATAATTTATTTAAGTCCTGTTATAATTTAGGTATTGGTGAAAAAAATTAAAATTTTAGTTTTGGGATCTTACATTCCAGTAATATGTTATTGGGTGATTCTGTATCTAGAAATATAAGGGAATTCAGTGAAAACTACAAAGAATATGACAAATACAGAATTAAAGAAAATGTGGTGTTTACACTCAGTGGAGTACTACTCTCCTGTAAAGGATAAAGGGCCAGTTGTATATGGCAGAATAGATGCACTTTGTGACCATAAGGGTGAGTGAAATAAAGCAGACATATCGCATGGTTTCTTCTATATGAGAGGCCCAGAGTAAAAATATAGGGCAAAATAAAAGATAGATAGTAGGAAGTTTGGGTGATAGATTTTTCTTAAAGGGGAAGAGGATCAGGAGATGGAGGAGGGAAAGAGGGGAACAGGCTGACAAGGGCACTTGGGATGTGTTAGGAGCATGCGCCAATTCCAAAGGAGGCCTGTCAGCACTGAGGGCTGCCAAGGTGCAGCCCCCTCCCCCCAAGAGGAAAGGGATCAAAAGAAATGGGTGGAGATTGCAGGGAGGGAGGGGAAAGAAGATGAAAAAAGAATTAAAATGTGTTATATGGGCCGGGGAATGGCTTAGTAGAATAAGCGCTTGCCTGGCAAGGGCAAGGGCCTGAGTTCAAAGACCGGTTCTGCAAAAAAAAAAAAGAACAAGAAAGTGTTACAAACCAGACCAGTTTCCCAGAAGGAATGTAAATGTTGTATACTGCAAACAGGGACTGATAAACTCCAATTAAAAAAAAAAAAGCCTTTGGCTTTCATATCGATGCAAGTAGCAATTAAAAATTACGAGAAAATATATTATTTATGATAGAAATAAACAAAATCCCTAGGAATAAATATAATAAGGTATGTGCAAGATAGACATGCGGAAAGTTTTCAAACCTTGAAGGATGTAACAACAAATGAGGAGAGATGTTAATTCACCCTATATTAACGTAAGAAGTCGGACTGATCTTACTAAAAATACTAACAAGCTTGTTTGTATGACTATTTGTTTATTTTGAAAACAAGCTAATTCATGTAGAAAAATAAAGATTTCTGAGAAAACTAACTGCATATTCCTGGTACATGAATAATAAATCAATTGAAGAGTAGATTGGTTTTTTTCAGTGAGCAGAAGATGAATAACAGTATTGGGGTGTTGGGTAGCTAGCCATCTGGAAGGAAAGGTGCAATCATACGTCACACCAGATATCTCAGCATTAATTCAAATGCACTAAAGATTTGAATATATTAGAAGAAAACCTGGGAGAACTTTTTGAACATTCAGCATAAAGATGGCTATTTACATTTTGACTTAAAACATAGGGGCTATTTTAGAAAAGACTGGTAAATTCAAGCATATATTTTAGGCACACATCTACAAGTAAAACAAGCAAACGTACCCTAAGCAAATTCTAAAATACAAATGATGTACTGGTAAAAGTGTGCAACTCATAGTGCAGATAAAAGTGTAGTTGCCCTAAAATATGAAGAAATTCTACAAATCAATAAAGAAAATATCACCAAATAAAGAAAAAAATGGACATAGCATATTCTTCATAATAAGAGGAAATACAAAACATTTTTTTAAAACATAGGAAAAAACATAGTTCTTTCATAAAAAGAAAAAAAAAAAAGTATTTTCTGGGGTACAGTTTTTGTATACCAGGCTAGAAAAATACAAAAATGTGATTGATTCATGCCACTGAGAAAGCTTTGAAAAACAGGTGCTCTTGCTTGTGAGTGTGAATTCATCAGATCACTGGAATAATTTTTTGTTATCAAAATCAATTATGGAAGTGTAGTGCTCTTTGACCTACGATGTTCACTTCCAGAAATTTATTCCACAGATAAATCAGTTCATAGTGACCAATGGCACGTTTATTTATTGCAGCCTTGTTTATTGCCAAAGTTTGGATGCTTTGTTAATATCTATTAATAGTAGAATGTGTAAGAAAGTAGCCCTCTAGTTCTACGGAAGAATGTGGGCATCTTCGGAACAGTGAGATGGAAACATTCCAAGGATGTAGTGTAAAGTGAAAAGACCTAAAGTCCAGAACAAAGTTCATAGTTTGCAACCATTTGTGTGACCAGCGGAAGACATAAAAATGTCTTTTGCTCACCTGTTCAGTTTTACTTGTAGGTACATGAAGTCATTCTGGAAAGGAACCACTGTACTAACCAGGGCTACCTGCTAACAAAGGGAAATGAGGGGGTGAGAGAACAGGAACAGAGTTGGAAGGTGAAACTTCAGACCATTTTTTAATTTATAATCACTTTGGTAGATGGATTTTCTTTTTTGTTAATAAACTTAGAAAGTAGGTTAAAATTAAAACTGAGTTTCTCCAGGAAAATGGTGTAGGTAACATATGTTGTAGGGACAGGGGTTTGTTCTCATGGTTTTGATGAGGAGAGATATGGAGGTGTAAGTTGTGTCCTCAATCGTAGGAAGAACTCAGATACCATAGGCACAAGGTCAGGACATTTCGGACCTGCGGGCCATTTGCTGTAGGTCTGAGTATCCTAGTCAGTTCAGTCCGCTGTGTTAGAGCATTGTACTCTGGGTGGTTTGACAGAGAGCTTCTATTTCTCACACTTCTGCAGTCTGGAAATCTGAGAACCAAGTGTCAGCATGCTCTAGTTTTTGGCAGAAGTCTTTTCACGTGTCAGAGAGAGAGATGGATAGCTCTCTCGTGTGTCTTCTTACAAGGCCACTAATGTCCCGAATCCCCAATCTATCACATCGGGGAGCAGAGTTTCCACATACGAGTCTGAGGGTGACACATGCCCGTTGAGTGCTTGAGATGCTTTTAGCATGGTGTCATATGTCCACGCCACCTGCTTGCCTTTTCTCTCCTCGACTTTTGCTTATTTCCCTGATCATTAATATTAAAATAGAGTACATAAAGGACTGGAACTCACATGGCTTTCTTTTTTCTATAGAAGATCGCCCTTACTTGATTGTTGGTATGATACCCTTGAACATAATTGAGAGAAAGAAGAGAGAAGAGAGCTAACACGTGTCCAGTTTTACATAAATTTGCGTATTTAGTTCTTAACACAATCCCATTTAGGCTGACTGCCAAGCTTTGTTTTATAGATGTGGAAACTGAGGCCCAGGGAAGTTTGCCAAGTGAAGAACTGAACTTGTGTTGTCTCGGGACTATGTTCGCTTTACCACATTTGCCTTTCAAGTAATGTCTTGTCCTAGTGAAACACTTGATGTAGTATTTGGCTGAAGGCATTAACTAAAAAAAGGAATCCTTGAGAAATATGTGGAGGATGGGGAATGAAGGCAGAGAAAGTATGCTTGGTACAGAGGTTCCTTAGGCTTGAGTGAGGTACTTTGGAATTTTTCCATGCTTTTCATCTGTCCTGTTATTTGATGGGTGAGTCTAACTTTTTTCCTTGAGGAAGTGAAATACCCAAATGATGTCTCTTTGCAAATTCTCCTTCAGACCCACTTTCCTAGGGCTGCTGGGGCTGACACAGTCACTTGGTTGCTGGTTGCCTCCTGGGAAGTGCATTGCTGGTAAGGAGAATTGCAAGCTTTATGAGAGGTTCATGGTTTTCCATCGTGTTTCCTGGTGAGTCACCTAGTGATTATTTATGTTCTGCTGCTCATGGCAGGCCTAGACCCTCATGGTAAACAGTGAAATCTCAGCAGCACAGAATAACCATAGGAGAAAAAACTCAGACACAAGGGAAGATCTGTTTATGGTGAACATGAGCGTGGATTGAAAATGCTTTTCTTGGTAACATGTTTCACAGCATCCTGATGAGAAGAGACTGGAAGGGCTCTCCAAGCAGCTGGACTGGGATGTTCGAAGCATTCAGCGCTGGTTTCGGCAGAGACGCAACCAGGAGAAGCCCAGCACCCTGACGAGGTTCTGCGAGAGCATGTAAGTTGCTTTTCTCTCCTACCTGAAAAAGAAGCCCGCCTCGGTGCACATGCCATCACTGAGGTGAAAGATGAACAGACCTGTACTGGCTCTGGAGACCCTTGGGAAAGCACACCCTCAAGAGCCAGGGGGCAATGGGGTGGGAGGCTGTGTAGGTTCCACTTTGGATGAGTAAATGGAGCTCACCTCCTTGTCATGTTCCTCCAGATGAAGTCGATGAAGAGGGCTTGCTATGGTGTTTCCATCTGTCTTCGACATGTAGCATTTAAAGCCTTTCCTTTCACCTGTGCTGGTAGTTTGAATTTTAACAGAAAGGATTTCATCAGGGCATGTTTTTCCACTGAGATATTAGGGTATATCATCAGAGGTCATAACAGCCCTGTATTTCTGGAGATTTAAGAAATGGCTGTCGTGTTCTATTCCTGGGGGAGTTTAATGAAGCATTTCTTGACGGGGATAAAATGAAAGTCTCTTCTATTTCTGAATATGAACTTCAAAATGTGTAAATTATATAGCGTCAGTAGCACTGTTAAAAATAATAAAAGACCTCAAAGTGGTATGTTGAAACAGAGTTATTCAATACACTTACAAAAATAAGAAGAGGAAATATGGAACCCTTGAGCGCATCTCCAAGGAAGGGAAGATTCTTCCTTGAGTGTCAGTGCTTGGTTTAGGATGTGACTATTCCTTTGTCCCCCCACTCTTTCTTTAGGCAGTGAGCCTTCCCAACCCCTGGTTATCTACACAGCAGTGCTGTCCATGAGTTGCCTTAGTTGCAGGCCTTTTCCATTTGGGGTTACAGTTGCATTTTCAGGTTTGGCTTCAATTAGGCCAAAAAAGTATTTTAGCAATTGCAATCTAAAATCTAGAGAGAAACTCAATATTACAGGAGAATGAATGGGAGGTAGAATGAGATTGTAAACTCCCAGTGCTGTGTAAATATAAAGTTCATGGATACAGTCTTCAAGATGTCAGAATTTTTGTAAAATCTAGAAAAGCCACCAAGTAGGTAACAGTGTGTGAAGCCTTTCTATAATTAAATTTGGTAGAAGTTTACGGAGGGATTTATGGGTCTGGGCACCTGTTCAAAAGTTGGTGTTGTTTCCATAAAAGTCCTTGCCACATGTACAAAGGGCTCCGATGCCATCATTGAGCCAGCAGTCTGAGCGGGGGTGAAGCAGGCCTCTCATAGGTCCCGTGTACTTGAATTCACATGCTCTCTTTCCCTCCTCCGATTACATCTTTGGTAACTGAATGCTGGCCCCTTCTGAACTGTACTGAGGGGGCAGTAGTTGTTTTCAAGGATGAGTGTGTGCAGGCAAAGTTAGCTGCGGACCTTGTTACCATGCGGGTACTGATTCCTTTGGTCTGTGATGGCAGCTGATAACCTGCTCCTTCTGTCCCCTCCCCTTCTCCACTATCCTCCTCTATTTACTTCTAAAAAAAATTATTGGTACACTTTTGGTCTACATAAAGATCACATTCATCACAGGGATTTTTCCTAATATATCATGATGTATCTTGATTCTTTTTCCCCCCATTTTCCTCCTCTCCCTTTAACACCTCTGTTTTTGTTTGTTTGTCTTTTGTTTTGCCAGAACCATGGTGTTTGTATCACAGCAGTACATTTGTGGTATAGTTTCAAGTCAGGGATTGTGATGCTCCTTGCTTGCCTCTGTTGCCCAGTTTTGTTTGTAATGTCTGTCTCTCCACTTGTGTCTTCAAGAATTCTACCTTCCTGTTCTCTCTTCCAGCATATTTAGTGTTTATGTTTTAATATTTAGAACGTTGATTCATTTTAATTTTAGGTTAGTGAATGGTGATAGATGTGAGCCTAGTTTTATTCTTCAGCATGTGGAAATCCAGTTTTTCCAGCATCACTTATTAAAGAAGCTGTCTTTTTTCCAGTAGAGGTGTTTGACCCCTTTGCGTTTGCTCTTCTAGGTCTCTTCTGGTTCTAAATGAATTTTAGGAAATTTTTTTTTTCTAAGTCTGTGAGGTATGTTATTGATATTCTGATTGGGATTGTACTAAATCTGTATAACATTTTTGAGATTATAGCCATTTTTGCTATATTGGTTCTGCATATCCAAGAGCCAGGAATATCTTTCCATTTTCTGATATTGTCTTTGATCTCCTTTTTCAGAGTACTGTAGTTTTCCATGTACAGATCTTTTACTTCCTTTGTTAGATCCTCAAGTATCTCATTTTGTTGGCTGCTGTGGTGAAAGGTGTGCTTTCCCTCACTTCTGTCTCTGTGAGTTAATTTGTGTATGAGAGTGCTATTGATTTATGAGTATTGAGTTTGCATCAGCTACAGAAGTAAATTTGTTTATTAAATCTAGAAGTTTTTTGGTGGAACTTTTGGGGTCTTCAATGTAGAGTATTATGTCATCTGCAAATAATAATTTAACTTCTGCTGATATTTATTTTTAAATGCTGTGTTTATTAAGCAGTTGATGTGGACAGTCAGGGTAGTGGCTAATGATTAAAGGAGAGAACTCAAACATGGGTTGGAGGCAGGTAGCAGTTGTTGGGAATACCACTGAATCAGTTCCACAGCATTTGACTGTTCTTTTGCATGAGATAGTGTTGGTGGGCTCTTGTTCTGACTCTTCTTCCTTGGCTTCAGGGTTGGCAGTATAGTCTTCCACTTTCCTAAGGAATTTTCTCATGTGGTCTTCAATGGGCTACTTCTCCAGATTTGGTTTTCACCCTCTTGTTTTTGTTTTTTGTTTTTTTTTTTTTTTTTTTTTTACTTTGCCTTTCATTCTCCATAGAGAAGTCATTTCCTCTCTCCAATCTACTGAAGCCTTGTGTCCAGTGCATATGTCCCCCCGGGGCATTTCTCTGTCTACCTACTCCAACTGGCTACTCTGATTTGCTTCCATTCTCTTTCTCTGCCTGTGTTTGTTGCCTCCATTTTGTATAAGGTGGGAAACTCAAAGCAGTTGGCCCCTGAGTTCCAAGAGTTCTTTGTACATCCACCACTACCAGGAAGATCCTGTTTGCTCTCGTTGGTCTCCTTATTACCTTTGGTCTTAGAGGCATTTTGCTTGCTACACATTATCCCCAAGACCCCAAACATTATCCTAGAGTACTGTTATTCCCATGTTCTACTGCTCTAAAACAACAGAGTTGACTTTTCTACAACTCCAAGGTGTCTGTCTGGCTTGTGCAGTGTTCCTGGTCCAGAACACCTACTTCCTCTGCTTATCTACCTAGTTTCTACCCATTCCCCATATCCTGGCCCTCTCTGGAGTGTGGCCTGACTCTTAAATCACCTTCTGCCCTTGGAGGCTTATCCTAAATGCTCATGGCCTAATATTAAGTCACATGCTGCCTTATGTGATTTTATTACTGTTCATAACATGGCCATCTGTATCAGCCGATAATATATTAGTGTTTGCTGAAGAGTCCAGAGGCCATCGCTTACTCTTGTGTTCTTAGCCATTGCCGCAACATACAGACTCCACCAAAAAGTTACTTGTCTAGTGACTGTATTAAAATGGCTTCATTCTGAAAGGGGCTGCTGACCTCACTTGACACTGGCCTTCGCCATCAAAAAAAATTTTTTTTGGTAACCCATCTTACTCCACAATAATTTTAAGGACAGGGATTCAAAGAAAAGAGCTTGGGGAGGTGCCACATACCTGTAGTCCCAGGCAACTTGGAAGGCTGAGGTGGTTTAATTGCTTGAGTGCACAAGTTCAAGACCATCCAGGGCAACATAAGAGCCTTTAGGTTCTTCAGCAAACAGTAATACATAATCAGGGTGGATACAGATGGCCAAGTTATGAACAGTAATAAAAGCACATAAAGCAGCATGTGACTTAACATTAGGTCATGAGTACTTATGATAAGCTGCCGAGGGCAGAAGGTAATCCAAGAGTCAGAAGGTGATCCAACCTTATCTCAAAAACAATTTAACAAAACCAACAAAGAAATGCAAAGGAAGGAAGGGATCACAAAGGAGAACACACAGAGAATGCCACAGGGACTAAGTAGCATTATATCATTCTGTATGTGTGCATGTGTAGTCTATGGTCATTTCCCTGGAAAAATGATCTAGAATAATTGTCCTTAACCAGGGAAGTTATTTTGCGGTCACCCAATTTGCTTTTCCAAATACACATGCAGGCCCCACCGCAGGGTGTCTTTCTCAGTAAGATGACACTCGTGGGGTTCTACACATGTTTATTTTGGAAGAACAGTCCCAAGTGTGGATGACAGATGCTCCTGTTTTGAAAAAGAGATGTGTGATGGTGGTGGTGCACCCGTAGAGTCTCAGCTGTCTGGAAGGCTGAGGCAGGAGGAAGAGGATCACATGTTTGAACCGAGGCTGGCCAATGTAGTGACTTAGTGAGGCTTTACCTCAACAATAACAACAACTACAACAGCGACCATAACAACAAAAATCAAAGGGCTGGGGTTGGACAGGGGATGTAGCTCAATATGAAGGCCCTGGGTTCATTCCTCTATACCAATTTGGTGATTGTAGAGACAGGAGCAAAATGCAAAGAATCAATCATTTTTTAAAATTACCAATTTTTGTTTTAGAAAACTTATGCTTCATCTGTTATCAGTGTGGCTAGCACCAGTGTGCATGCCAAGCAGCGCGCGCAGGCATCTGCCGATGTGGCTGACTCTTGGCACACCCATTTAATGCAGATGGACTGAGAAGTTGTTCAGTGAGCAACGTGCACAAACATTGATGTGAGTTTCTCCCCTCTTGCTTGTTGTCAGTCATTCACAGCTGTGTCAGTTTTGATGACTCTTCCAGAAACATTTAAATCCTCACTGGCAACTAAAATAGAGATTTGAGAGAGAGACAGAAAGAGAGAGAGAGAGAACAAGAGTTTTATGAAAAGGGAATGTGATGTGAGGCATTTGAGGAGAAGCTGGTTCGAGGTGGAAGCCTACGCTGTCCGTTGGGACCATGCTGATGTGACACCACCCTTCTCTGACAGTGGTGTCAGTTTTATCAGTCTGGATAATAT